ACGACGAGTGAATGCAGGAAATAGAGTTAATGGGGCTCTACACTCTATTGTGAAAAATCAAAATGTGTCCAAAAAGGCACGTATGGCAATTCACAATGCTGTGTTAGTACCTACTTTAATGTATGGTAGTGAAAGTTGGGTGTGGCAGAAGAAGCACGAGAGTAGAATAAATGCTGTAGAAATGCGGTCATTAAGGAGTATGTTAGGGATGAACCTGAATGACAGAGTGAGAAATTGTTTAATAAGAGAAGAGTGTGGTTTGCAAGATGATGTTGTGACCAGGATTAAGAAAAGAATGCTTCGGTGGTTTGGCCATGTAGAAAGAATGAATGGGGAAAGAGTGACAAAGCAAATTTATGTTGCAGAGGTGAACGGCATAGTCGGGAAGGGTCGCCCTAGGCGAAAGTTTATCGACCAAATTGGCGATATATTAAAAATGGGCCAAATCAAGAGTACCTTTAACCGACGAGCGTGTATGCGTAGGTATATGGATGTGGAGGAAGCGAGAGAGGTGTGTCAGGATCGTGCCAAATGGAAGTCCATAATCTCTGCCTACCCCTCTGGGTGGCAGGCGTGAGTGTTTATGTATGTAACATGCATCTCCTCGTAAAGTAAGTATTATTTTATTTTGCGATTTACATCAATGGATAGGTAATTTATTAATGAACATTTCTATTATAAAATTTTTTTCAAAAGACCATAATTTGATTTTATTAAGAAATTATTTTAAAATCTGGGCGTATTCACTGCCCACGGGCTTGCTGGAGTCAGTGAGCGCTGAGCTCTTGAACGTGAAACCCGTGTCGTTAGTCAGAGCATCGGCCAGCGCACACGCTCACATCTTATCAGTCGATAATATTATAATATTATTACTTATTAGGTTATTTATAGGTAGTATTATTTGTTTGTTTTGGGTATAATTTTTCGTATTAGTTATACATATATTTGTTGTGTTTTTACTGCGCGATGAAACTTTTTGCGTGTATTTTCTGAAAAACACTGGTCCCTACAAATAAGGTATTGTTACTCAAAGGCCCGTATTAATAAACGTTACTGAGCTCAAGTACACGCACTTGAGTACAATGTTGAGGTTATGATCTTATTAATAATCATATCTCAAGATGCGGTTTAGGTTTACGACATCAGCTGAGTGCCACACTGGTTAATAAACGAAACTCGACTCTCAAGTATGTGTACTTGAGTGCAAGTCACAGAACAGTATTCCTAAGTAGAGCGTTTTAAGATACTGCTTTTATGTGTTTATTAATTAGCAACGATCTAGAGATGCTGATATCGTAATGAGGGCGAATCAAATGATTACGCACTTGTATTCGTCGTTGAGTAACGTTTATTAATATGGGCATAAGAGTCAACCAAATCTAAGAAATACCTTTTGACGTTTCACATTAATCATTCCGCAATAACTTTGTACAAGCGTACTCACACAATTTAATATAGCCTTTTACGTAGACCAACAGAATTATGAAGTTATCTATATTTGATTACATCATCAACATGCATAGTTCTTTACGAGTATCACTATTTTTAGTGCAATTCTTCCGTTGCCGGGTTATAGGTAAAGTGACCATACATCCCGTTTTGAACGGGACTGTCCCTTTTCTCGGTCACTTGTCCCATTGTCCCCAAATAAAGCTCCGGGACACAAAATTGTCCCGTAACTCGTTGGATGGAAGTATTCAAAGCCAACAATTTTCAACATAATTTTTTTAATCGAATATAATTTATGTCTACCTGGTACAAATGCTCCAGTAGAAAGAGTATTTTTCTATTTTGAATAAATTGTGGACGTTTGAAAAAAACACTTACGGTTCCAGTTCTAAAGGTGATGTTGTTAACAAAGATAATAATAAAAAAAATTTGCCCATAATTTTATTCTTATTTAAAATCATCACCAACTTTATTAAAGCAAATTTAATCCACTGACAAATGTAATTAATAATTAAAAATATATATGTTGCATTTAATAATTACCGTCTATACCGAATATAATTTTATAGTGAACAATAATTGTATAAATTTATAGTTTTTAGAGTATAAATAAACCCATGTCCCGTTTTGAGTTAAAAAATAAATGGTCAGCTTAGTTAGAGAGTCGAGTGATAACCCGCAATGCCGCAGATAGGCCAACTTAGACGCCCAGACCGAATAAGTCGCCTATAGGCCGACTTACCCGACCGGGCCTTATTAGACGACCATAGACCAAATTAAACGCCCAATTCAAACCAAACCTTACATGCTAATGGTGCTTAATTTTTATATTTGCAATTACTTCAAAGAAAATACACGCAAAAAGTTTCATCGCGCAGTAAAAACACAACAAATATATTATGTATAGCTAATACGAAAAATTATACCCAAAACAAACAAATAATACTACCTATAAATAACCTAATAAGTAATAATATTATAATATTATCGACCGATAAGATGTGAGCGTGTGCGCTGGCCGATGCTCTGACTAACGACACGGGTTTCACGTTCAAGAGCTCAGCGCTCACTGACTCCAGCAAGCCCGTAGGCAGTGAATACGCCCAGATTTTAAAATAATTTCTTAATAAAATCAAATTTTGGTCTTTTGAAAAAAATTTTATAATAGAAATGTTCATTAATAAATTGCCTATCCATTGATGTAAATCGCAAAATAAAATAATACTTACTTTACGAGGAGATGCATGTTACATACATAAACACTCACGCCTGTCACCCAGAGGGGTAGGCAGAGATTATGGACTTCCATTTGGCACGATCCTGACACACCTCTCTCGCTTCCTCCACATCCATATACCTACGCATACACGCTCGTCGGTTAAAGGTACTCTTGATTTGGCCCATTTTTAATATATCGCCAATTTGGTCGATAAACTTTCGCCTAGGGCGACCCTTCCCGACTATGCCGTTCACCTCTGCAACATAAATTTGCTTTGTCACTCTTTCCCCATTCATTCTTTCTACATGGCCAAACCACCGAAGCATTCTTTTCTTAATCCTGGTCACAACATCATCTTGCAAACCACACTCTTCTCTTATTAAACAATTTCTCACTCTGTCATTCAGGTTCATCCCTAACATACTCCTTAATGACCGCATTTCTACAGCATTTATTCTACTCTCGTGCTTCTTCTGCCACACCCAACTTTCACTACCATACATTAAAGTAGGTACTAACACAGCATTGTGAATTGCCATACGTGCCTTTTTGGACACATTTTGATTTTTCACAATAGAGTGTAGAGCCCCATTAACTCTATTTCCTGCATTCACTCGTCGTTCTATATCCTTATCATATCTACCATCCCTGCTAAATGCATGATTTCACATTTATATGGTTTCATTGTAAGGAGATTATATTAATATTTATTCCTTTAAAAAAATTGGACATAGCTCTTATGGAATCTAGATTATGTAGAAATATGTGTTTTTTATTAATTGATATATCTTTTAAATAAAAAGTAGATAGCTCCTAAAAACCGCACAAATAACGACTAGCGCGATATTTTGCTCAACCTGCGCCTTAAATGGTTTCAGTTCCCCACGCCTTAATTCAGTTTTCCCCCTTTTGGACAGTTTTTCTCATCGTTAACTCGAAATATATTTATTTCGTCAAACAATATTTATTTAATAACAATATATTACTAACAGACAATCACAAAATCTGTACCCGGTAAATGGCGCTGTAGGCTGTATATTTCATGTCACTGGTCATCCATCAACTCTTGCTTTGCTTGATGCTAGTTGATGGGTGAGGTGTTATTGTTTTATTACATAACGATTGACTGTTGATCAGTATGTACTTTGAAAATGGCTTGTGTCCATAAAATGCCCCTAGTTATAAACCTGCATTTACTTATATTTGTGAGTGTTATAGATGAGTTTCGTGTGGGTATTATGACTTTACAATTGTAGATCATGAAAAATTATATATATATATTAGTTTTTTTTTAAGAAATCTCATAAACCCACAATTTCTACTCTCTTGTTCTTTCCTTCTTCTTGATCTCGGTTTTTGTTTCATATGAAGTTTTAATTTCTTCTCTTTTAAAAAAGATCGTCTTAGTTTTGTGGCGGCGCTGTCGTCGCGCCACACGCGAAACAAATCGAAGCCTAAATCGCGCTAACAAAGTTCCGAAGTTAAAGCAGTATATATAAAATAGCTCCGAACTATCACCATGAACGTTGGCCGCTCCCCGGGCAGAACACCTTGCCCAGCGGGAGATCTCCCCTTTTCTTTCCACCGGCCACAAGCGAAACAAATCGAAGCCTAAATCGCGCTAACAAAGTTCCGAAGTTAAAGCAGTATATATAGAATAGCTCCGAACTACAACTCGGAGCGTTGGCCGCTCCCCGGTGAGAACACCTTGCCCGGCGGGAGATCTCCCCTTTTCCTTCCTACGGCCACAGTTTCATTCCCCTTCTTATTGGGATAAGTTAATTAAAGTAACCGATTGCACCTCGCCCGCCGATAACTTAAATATGAGTTGGTTGTGGACTTTTTTATTCGTATCACATTCACTCTTTTACATATTTACTCATTCTTTCTGAGAGCTGAAACCGCTGGCATGCCCGCACAAGCGGTACACTTACGGTAGCTTAGTTGGTTGGTAGGTAAGTATGGAGGCCTCGTTGGTTTAATGGTCGTTAACGTGACTGCTTACCATGAAGTTCCGTGTTTAAATCCCAGGTGGGGCCAAAAATTCATTTATTTTTACTGTTAAAAATGTATCAGTAGCAGCCCAAAATTAGGAAGTTGGCTGTGTTTCACCCACGCGCCTCGGAAAGCACATAAAGCCGTTGTACTAGACACAACGGTAACTTTGTAAAAATATTTTGATGTACCCACAAATTATTAACTTTTTTGGTTATTTGTGGCAGATAACTCAGAGTATTAGTTTTATATCAACAATATACCATACACATTTTATGCAAGTTATCTTGAGTTTATATTAAAATTTCTTGGCAGAAACGGAAAAAAACAATTTACAATGTCTCCAAGAAGGTAAGTTTCATGTTATCTATAGTAAATCATATTATTTATAGGTACAGTAGTATTATCCGAAATAATTGAGACCGGGGTCGATTCGGATAATCGAAAATTCGGATAATCGGACATAGACTGGTATGTAATATAGAAAAACGAACTGTCACACATAGAATAAACTTTATTAAGTTTATAAATGATTTTACACTTTATAAAGAGTAAAACCAGCTACACCCATTTTTTCACTGAACTTTCGCGCCTTTTCACATAAAATCGATCCTGAAATCGGTTGTCACAATAGATAGTTGCTGCAGAAACCACGTAAAAACAGCATTCTCAAGTTATTTATACTTTGCCTTTTTCATTACTTTTCGTGACGAAAATCCATCATCACTTTCCAACGCAGTCACAAAACTTAAATTTTTTTTTACTGTTATTTTAATATCAGTTAACCAAGTATTGTATAAGTAATGTAAGTAAGTAATGTTACTTACTATATTTGGTTATAATTTTTTATATTACGCTTAGGACCGATACGGATAATTGGCGATTCGGTTAATCAGCGTTCGGATGATCGGCGTTCTACTGTATTATTTTAAAGACTAGGCTACAATAGACGTAATAGCTTCAAATAAGTTTCACTTGGATTATTTTAATAAGGTGTCCTAGGTTAGAGTTGTGTATCGCAAGCAACGCAAAATCAGGAATTTGCATTTAGAAAAATCCAAAATTAGGGGCTTTTTAGGTGCTAATTAGGTACCAAGATTAATAATTAGTTGCTCTAAATTTTTCACCGCAACGAACTGTAGTTTGCGTTGCAGGAATATTGACACAGTTACTCCTGCAACGGCTTCGACGCTGCGGGGAGTGCAGCCCCTTCGCCCTTGCGTAGCAAATCACAAGCACCCATGCTCACCTCCGCAGCTTCAGCTTTTCTAAATTCTAAATTTTGGGTTTTTCTAAATTCAAATTCTTGACTTTGCTTTGCTGGCGAGACACAGCTCTAGTTTAGGCGTATCATATATGGTACAGTTCATATATACATAATACATAAACACTCACGCCTGTCACCCAGAGGGGTAGGCAGAGACTACGGACTTCCATTTGGCGCGATCCTGTCACACCTCTCTCGCCTCTTTTACATCCATATATCTACGCATACACGCTCGTCGGTTAAGGGTAGGAGTACCCTTAACCGACGAGTTCATATATGGTATAGGTCTATGCATGAGCATAATATACCTAAGTCATGTAAATACATATTATCGTATACATATTAGCTTTTTATTTATCATTTTGTGTTTTATTGTTTTAGGTCATTGACATTGCATGAAATTGCTACTATTCTTGAGGAAAATGATGATTTTAGCAACCAGAGGCAAGATTTTGATATTTTTTTACTTCCACCTGACACCGCCAATGTTTGCCAAACTGACGAGGACTCGGGTGAAGAAGATAACGTCAGCAGAAATAATTTGCCTGGAAATTTGCTACGAGCTCCAACCTCAATCTCAATGGAGGAACCAGAATCTGAAGACCAAACCCCTCATGAATTTGAAGAACCTTTAAAAAACGTGTCATAAAGTACAATTGGCGAAAACGAGAATTGCAGCAACCTCTTTATCATACTCCTATTGAAAGAAGCCCGATAGAATGATTTTCTTTATTATTTTCAGAAGACTCATTTGAGATGCTTACTATTGAAACCAATAGATACTTAGCACGTAAGCTTCTCTCTGCTGACGTCAAGTGAGCAGAAGAAGAATGTACTGGGAAAATGCATCTGATTCAAGAAATAGTTTGATTGCTTCAGCCAGGTCTCGAGATAGATTTACACTAATTTATTCTAACATTCATGTTGCTGATAATCTAAACTTAGATGGATCCGATAAATTTGCAAAAGTTCGTCCTTTACTAAAAGTTTTAGCTGTGAAGTTTCTTGAGCACTGTCCACACAACGAGAATCATAGTGTCGATGAGGCTATGGTCCCATATTTTGGTCATCACGGCTGCAAATACTTTATTAGAGGCAAGTCTATAAGATATGGATACAAATTATGGGTTGGTGCAACATCAGGAGGTTACATTGCGTGGTTTGAACCATACCAAGGTGCTTCTACATTTACGAATGCCCAATATTCCCAGCTTGGTCTTGGTGCAAGTGTGGTTTAGTCTTATGCAGATCAACTAGCAACATTAGGCTATGGGAAAAACTAGGCTTTTATGATTATCACGTATCTGATATAATTTGCAAGTGGCATGACAATAGTATAGTGTCAGTATGGTCAAATACAGTTGGTGTTGATCCTGTCAACAGAACTGAACGCTAGTCTCAGCAACTAAAACAGAAAATATCTCCTTCTCAACCTCATCTCATTTAACAATACAATAAAAATATGGGTGGAGTAGATTTATCAGATCAGAATATATCGTCATTGCGAACTAGCATTCGAGGAAAAAAGTGGTATATGCCTCTGATTCTCCATTGTATTGACATGTCTGTACAAAACGCATGGCTGCTGTACAGACATAATGGAGGGAATATCGACTTGCTAAACTTTCGATATCGTATTGCAAATTATATTATCGATAGTAATAAACAACGCGAAAAACCAGGTCCTAGTCGGCCATCTTCAATAACATCAGACTCTCGATACGACGGCAAAGAACACTATTGTCACCAATCAGGAAAAGAGGACCAGGTGTGGCCTATACCACAAACAATGTCCCACAAGGTGTGTCAACGTAGAGCAATATCGGTCTCCACGTAGTGTTTTATTATGTATCACACCAAAAAGTAAATAAAATCTAATTAGTAAAATCATGCCTTTTTGCATACATGTAGTCCTACTGTACCATATGTGGTACGCCCGCTCAGTCGCCCCCCTCTTATTAAATCTTTTTTTAATATTTTTCCCTCGGCTTTTAGACTTTCTTGGAACAGCTTTTGTTAATGAAACACGAATTTTTCACAAAAATAATTATCGGTCTAAGTGGGTTAAAAAAATATCCCCTCATTCTTTTCCTTGATGAAATATATTTTTATAATAAAATATATAAATAAGTACAAATCGGGATGATTGACAGTCTATGTCTTGGCAAGGCTATTTTTAATAACTTTTTTACCCGGGTACGGTCATTATTTTCCTTGACAAAAATTGGTCTCAATCGAAAACAAAACATATATAGAAAAGCCACAGCATGGTTGACTACCTTTTTCCATACAACAGTACTTGTATACCAGGTGTAAACTGATATAGTCATTTACCATCATTGTTTCCTAAAACAATTTAATATATAAATATAGATATATTTATTGCGAATCTAATGGTATATGGTTGACTTTTCAAATCGTGGCAAGGCTAGTGATTGACAAGATTTAACGTTTCAATAATTTTATTTTAAAGTAGAGCGTGACAGAGGAGACGCTTGCCGGAAAAGAGAAAGGCGCGCGTTCAGTTCTCTGTGTAATAGAGAAAGATTTCTCAAAGAAGAGATTCTTCCACCGAAAATTATTCTGGAGTAATGGTGGTTAATATAGCGCATAGCGCCATATTATAGCGCATAGTGTGTTCTGTGTAAGTAGGCGCCAGGGCGCTTTAGCGCTATGAATATCTAGCGCCAACTAGCTCTAGCAGCAGCGCTGGCACTGGCAATTGCATGGGAAAAGGTAGTCAACCATGCTGTGACATTTTCTATAATTATATTTTTTGTTTCCGATTGAGACCAGTTTTATCAAGGAACAGAATGACCGTAACCGGTAAAAAAAATTAATTTAATAATTTTTAATTATAAATAGCCTTGCCAAAGCATAAGCTTCATCCCGATTTTTAATTATTTAAGTATTTTATTATTTAAAAAAAATATTTCAGCAAGGAAAGTATATTAGGAGGAGGTATTTTTTTAGCCGGTCCTATGCCTGATCTCTCTTCGATTGTGTCAGATTACCCGTCGAATTATGAGTGAAGGAATAGAGAGTGCACCTGTGCTTGCCTATAAACTCGGGCGATTCTGAGCAGATGGCTAGTCTCCATTGAGACTGGCCGCCGTGACATTTTTATTATTAGGGAGGACATTATTTTTATTTTTAAGCAGTGTACATGCTATGAGGGGCGTCCTTTATCTTGCTTAGGTTAGGATCATTTACACATAACACATATTACATTAATTATTCTATCAAACATCTCGTACCCATCTCATAATGCATTACTCACATTCAGCGTAGCCAAGCGATCTTCCGCAATTCACTACTCGTGCCTTCGGCAGACAGAATGAGACGGCGAGCGTCGCTTTACGGTTACATCCGAAAGATTCTTATTTCTCCGCTAAACGATTTGACCAATTTTGATGATTTGTTATGGGATCATCTGGATGGTTCTTAGCTATAGTGGGATAGATAAAAATTTAATACACTCGTGCTAAGTAACATATACAACCGATTACATTAAAAATAACGTCTACATAATATGTTATTACTTGCACTATTTAAGCGCGTCGGGTACTTGAGGTTACTTCTGTTTTTACCTAATCCATTGAGCAAAAGCGATGGTAGATTATTTCAACGCCAGCGTACGGCTGCCGCTGTTTGTTCGGCTTTGTCATTCGTTTGACACCACCCAGGGGTACGTGTAGAGCGGCCCTAGGATTAGGTCTGCAGACGCGAACGACCGTCCCCCCGAAAATATATTGTGTGATTAATAAACTTATGTTCAAGAGATTTGGGTTATCGTAAATTATTAAAACACTCCACACCTTCTTATTCGGTTTATTTTCATCAAATACTTATAGTTGTAACTACATAGTACAGTTTGGTTAAATTTAAGAACAGAATATAACGCAAAATTATTTCAATAAGAAATGGACAAATTATTAATATGCTAGCCTTTAAAAGTCGCAAACATGTCAAATTATTATAGATAATTAAAATTACGATCAGCTCAAACAAATGTAATATTTAATAGTTAAATAAACACGGTCAATATTTAAATCAAATTAACAGAACGGCATGAGTTGAATTAATAAGTAGGTGATGTTATAATATTAATATATCGGAAATATGTTTAATTATTAACTCTGATTCTTTGTTATAAGTTGGTTTCAGGTGTCCATGGGCTGGACTGATAATAAATGGCTAGGTAAGTCACTTATTATCACTCCACCTTATTCATCATCATTACAGCCCTTCATAAGTCCACTGCTGAACATAGGCCTCCCTCAAACTCCACCTTATTAGCAGTAAATAATATGAACAAGTATTTCAATATACCATTCTCTTATTTGTTGTTCAAAATTATATATTTATATTTGTATGATTATTACTCATAAAGAATGGCATATTCAACATTAAAAACCGGTTGTCCATGATGTATTTTTCTAGGTATTTTTGAAGCTGGCAGAACTTAAATACACAGTCTGACGACGAGATGCAATGATAAAGGCACGAGCTATATGGTAATGCCATTGTCAATCTGTTTTCAAGTGTCGCGATTATAGCAAATTATACGTCTTGTTATGCCAGAGGTGTTTATATAACCATACTCCATATTGTTACATTATGATCCGTAGACCTATAACTGATGAAAATGAATGGCAGCTAGCAACATCTCCATATATAAAAATCAATTGCTGTCCGTTAGACTCGTTAAAACTCGAAAATGGCTCGACTGATTTTGATGAAACTTTTTGTGTGATTGAGTGGGTCCTTTGATGGTTTGGATTCACATTTGGACCCGGTAGTGCTGCTGTCGACATCCAGAAATCACTTGTGTGAAGTCGGGGCAGATCGCTAGTACTTAATACAATATACAGAGGTATAATCAACTATCAACATCAATAAAGCCTATAATTAATTAATAAAACACCCCACCAGCTATATTATCTACGGATCTTGCTGGAATTCGGGTCGTCTCCGCACTGCACTTCACCTCGCCTCATGTTCGCATGTTCACTTTAGAATTTCAGATTCTCTCTTATTAGCATGATATAATTTGACAGATCCACACATATTTCCAACGGGTTGTAATGTTCTTATAAATTATGTGTTCCGCTTGATGGTATCCAAACGTTATTACAATTAGAATGACTAAATCCTATTACAGGTTACCTTCAATTTCAGGTGATATTAATTTGGAGGAATTTGTTTTGTTATTAATATTAACATAGTCGAACTTTGATCTGAAAGGTAATAATTTTTTTTAGTTATACTGGTGTACAACTGGAAGAGTTTACTTTAAAGATACTTAAATTGTTAATAATATACGCCTTGTGTAATAATGAACCTTGTTTTTTTTTCAATATGTATCAAATAGTAAGATGAATTATGATGATTACACGTGGTAGAGCCATGCTGCAGCTATATTAGTAGTATAGTTGTAGCACGAATGGGTCAGCTCGACCGGGGAAGGACCACGCTCTCACAGAAAACCAACGTAAAATAGCAGCTTAACGCTGCTGTGTTTCGTATGGTGAGTGTAGAGAACCGGAGACCCATTTTACTGGAAAAGAGGCATTTCATCTTGGTCCTCACGGGTGGCGACGCATCTGTATTTTGATTCTTCATTGAGGATAAATGTGGATGTCTATG